ATTTGGAAAACAGCTGCATGGAAGAAGGGTTCACCAATCTCCCCTTTCCTTCCTGAAAACAAGGATTACAATTTCCCCTGTGAAAGGGGCCCCCCGCCCTCAGCCAGGAGAACGGACGCTGTTCAAGTGGACACTGCAGCCGAGAGCCTTCGGCACCCACGGACTTCATAAACGTGCTGCTTCTCTTCTTTCTCTCAGCAGAAAACACCCCAGACCCGTCCCATATGTGAACAAAAAAAAATGGCACTTTTATGTTTGTTTATAAAACATTGCAAACGTGGCCTGTACAGAAAGAGCACACAGTACAAAACTAAAAATACATGGAGAAAAACGTGGAGGCTCACAGAGCAGGTACTTAATACAAACGTTAGCGTTCTGGATTTTGTGATATCTGTCAATTTTTAAAATTTGAGTTTGAATATAAATTATCTTCTCATTCTAAAAAAAAGAATTCTTCATGGGGAGATGAGAAATCAAACCTGAGGACAGCACTATAGGAAATCAGCACACCCCAACATATGGAATGGCACCACCAACTATCCAGTTCCAAAGCCGGAAGAAACACACATGTCCTTTTCTTCCTCTTTACCCAGCATTACAACACCAAACCGCACTGATAATACTTCCAATCCATACACTTCTCTATCCCACTGCCACTATCCCTCCATCTCTAACATGGCCAACCATCAACTCTTACATAAATGACTTAAATAGCCTCTTTTTATGAAAAATGAGTTATTTCCTAGAGTAATGCATACATACAAGGTATAAAATTCAAAGGCTGCCAAAAGTTATACTGTACAGCATCTCCCTACCATCCGTGGCACCCAATGACTCAACTTTCTCCATGAGAGGAAATCGAAGTAACCAAAGTTTGCATGTCCTTCAAAAGCTATTTTATATATACAAAAACAAATATTTGTGCGTGCTGATGTTCTATCTGCATTCCATCCCCCACTGCTATGCACCTTGTTCTGCTGAATAATACATCTTGGAGATTACTCCATATAAACACACATAGGGCTTGTTCTTTACAACAACTGCACTGTAAAAGATAAATCACAGTTCACCAGTTCCAATTGCTGGACATTTATATTATTCTCAACCTTTTGCTTTTACAAATAATGTTACTTTAAACATCTTTACACTTACCTGATTTCTCACATTTGCAAGTACATCTGTAGGCTAAAGACAAATTTAAAATATTTTAACCATTCGTTTCTTTGGATAGTATTGACTCCATACTATCAACAATGATTGAATAAACTAGTATATTTCCACTTTTATCTTCTCTCCTAATTTTAGCAAATTAAAATATTAATATATTTTTCTTATTATTTATCTTTAAAATAAATATATTTGCCTCTATTATAGCCATTGCTGCAAACATATATACAATGGTAGTCTAACAAGATTATAATGGAGTTGAAAAAATTCCTATATAGTAGTTTTACTGTACCTTTCTTGTATTTAGATACACAAATACTTAGCATTGAATTACAATTGCTTACAACATTCAGTAAAGTAACAGGTTACACAGTTTGTAGCTTGGAACAATATGTTACATTACATAGCCTATGTGTGTAGTAAGTTACAGCAGCTAGGTTGGTGTAAGAACTGTACACCAAGGAGGCTGGTGTTGTGGCATGGCAGGCAATGTTGCCACCTGCAATGCTGGTGTACCATACAGGCTCCACTTCCTATCCAGCTCCCCGCTGGCATCCCATATGTGCACTAGTTCATGTCCTGACTGCTTCACTTCTGATCCAGCTCCCAGCAAATGGCCTGGGAAACACAGAAGATGGACCAAGTGTTTGGGCCCTTTTCACTCATGTGAGAGAGCCAGGTAAAGCTCCTGGCTCCTGCCTTCTGCCTGCCTGTAAAAGGAATCAATGAATGAAGGAATAAAACTCTAACTGAGGCCTGTGTTGTAGTGCAGTGGATTCAGATGTCAATTGCAATGCCAGCATCCCATATGGAAGTGCAAGTTCAAGTCCTGGATCCTCTACTTCAGATACAGTTCGCTGTTAATGTGCCTAGGAAGGCAGTAGATTATGACCCAAGTGCTTGGGCCTCTGCCACCCACATGGGAGATGTATAGAGTTCTTGGCTTCTGGCTTTAGCCTGGCCCAGCCCTGGTTATTGCAGCCATCTGGGGAGTGTACCAGAGGAAGGAAGATCTCTTTCTCTCCCACTGCTGGTTGTGTGTGTGTGTGTGTGAGACTTTGTCTCAAATAAATAAATCTTTTTAAAAACTAATTGTATGTTTTATGATGCTTGCCTAATGATATATTTCTCAGAGCATATCCCCAGCACTAAGTGACGTACAACTGTTCATTTATCAGCTTTAAATAATTTGTAGTTTCTAAATATAAAAATTGATTACCTCCCATTTTTTCCTTTCCCATCTTGTTTGTGATGTAAACAATCTGCTTTAAAGACTCATGGAAATGACATTCTCTGGGTTTTTATATAGCCAGAGATCTGTTGTCTCTGTACTAGAACAATGACTCTGCTGGAACTATATTTCTGGAGTCTACCCTTATCTTTCCTTGAGGAATTTTAAGCATTGTTCTACTGATTATTGCCCTAAAGAAGCCTGAGCCAGTTTGATTTTTTTAACATATAAACAATTTAATCTTTTTGCCTGGTTGCACAAGAGTCTTAATCTTCAAAGTTCAGTAATTTCATAAAAACATGTCAGCCCTGACCATTCTGTCAAGTTTTCCTGAGGTATAGTATGCCTTTACAATATATTTTATACTATAGACCTAAGACTTTTGTTTCTAGAAAAAAAATTCTCAAGTTACATACTTAAATATTGCAGCTATTACTTTGAGTCTACACCATTGGAATATATTGGAGCTTCTTAGATTTCCTATCAACTATTTTTATCCTGACCCTACCAAGATTTTATGAATTCTGTTTCAATTTTGTTGTTTTTCTTAGCTTTCTCCTGTATGTTTACAATCTGTTTTCAGTACACCCAGTCTCCTTCGGGTTGCTTCCAATGAGACTGTCATTTCTAAAATAGTTTCCTAACTGTCTTCCATTTATTCCCTAAGCACAGTTAGTTCTGTCTGTGGACTCAGTATATCTTCCGTGACAAAGCCTTTGGCGCTCTTCATTTTGAGTTCACATTTATAGAGGGAGGACATGATTGAGTTTTGTAGTTGTCATCTTTTCATTAAGCATGACAACATGGTCAAAATTTTTATGTGACCCTTGGTAACTTTTTTTTCCTGATATGTGTTTGTTTTTCCCTATCGTTTTGTTATTTACTGTTCATTTCCTTTTTTTTCTTTTGTTCTATTTATATAGCTACAGTGCTGATTCCTTTTTTATTACTGCTGGTATTACAATGTGATGAATTCTTTATTTGATGGCAGGTTTACAAAGGGGGAGGACCCAAGACCGTATTCTGGATTAGTAGAAATTCCTTCTGATTCAGAGTGATGATTCTTATGATTCGGGGTCATGTTCATAAGGGTTTTTTTTCCCTTTTACTTCTCGCCTGGCAATAAAGATCAGTTCTTATGCGTGACTGCAGAATCTCTCCCCTCCACTCTATTCCACCAATAACACAGACATGAAACTCAGATGTGGATAATTAGTGTGAGTCTGCATTCTTATCAATTCCGCTTCTCATTGGTATTAACCAAGTCTCAGAATGCTCTACTGCCACATTAATTATCCCACAGAAGGAGTCCTCAGAGAAACTTGCCCCTGCCAGCTTTGCCTGAAACACACAGATGCGAGCGCATTCCCTCTGCACCTTCGCATGCTGCCTAACCACAGCTACTCTGGGTGACACTTTCTCATGCATTGTGGCCCAGAATGATAGCTTTCATCCAGCTTTTCTCAGAGATGGATCTGCATTTCTGTTTCTTCTTAGCTTGGGTTGGTTTCCAGAAGAAGAGGAGCAAGTGCTGTCTTATTTTGACCATTTTAAAAATGGAAGTTTCTATAATAGGGTCTTCTTAGTCTCCCTAGTTCCAATTTTCTCCTCCTTCAATCCAGTTTCTCAATTATAGACAGAATGATTTGAAAGGTGAGTCTGATCATGTCAGTACCCTGAAGAAATCTGCTGATGACCTTGCATCCTCTTGGGGTAAAGGCCAAATGTCTTTATGATATGACCCCTGTCTACTTCTCCTGCCTCACCTATTATTATCCAGCCCCTTTACTCCCAGTATTATAATATATTAGATTTATGTTGGTTATTCAAGCGCCCAAAGATCTGTTCCACCTCCAAGCATCCAATATGTACTTCTCTCTCTGCCTGGAATTCTCCAGACTGGCCACCCCTGTTCACTCCTTAACTATTAATAACCCTTCAGCTCTCAGCATAATAATAATGAGCTACTATTTTTATTGTTTACTAAAGCACTGTGCTAAGCAATTTATATGTATTAACTCATTTATTTTCACAGCAAATCAATGAGGTGAGTCCTATTATTGTCAGCATTTTAAATATGAGGAAACTGAAGCTAAGGAAGGTTAAGAAACTTGTCCAAGGCAACAGAGCTACTAGGAATTGGAGCTGCAGCTGGATGCCAGCAAGCCAAAGGCCCCATAACAGAAAACCTATGTACATTTTACTGCTTCTACATCCCTTATCCTCACCCTTCGACTTTAGGGCAATGCCTCTTCCAAGTGCACCAGTAGCTATCTGTATTTCTCTATCATAGCTTTTAACATAGTGTATGATAATTGCTTATTTGCTTTTAGAGACTCTTTTCTAGAATATGAGATTCTTAAGGTTAACAGCTGTGTCTATCTTCTTTTCTATTGTATCCATATTGCCCAACACATAGTAAATAATCAATATTTTTTAACTGGAAAAGGCCCAACTCCCCACCCCCAGGATTGAAACTGCAAAGAAGTTTGAGGTGTTTCTTTAAATACTAGGAGAACATGTGAAGAGGTTAACACTACAAAAAGTCTTCATTCAGCCAAGCCATCAGTGATAATAACTACTGATAATAATAAAAGCTTACCAATGTCAAAGCACTCAGCAAAAGAGCAGTCTCACCAGAACAAATGTCCCAGCAAAGGCATATCTCTTCCTATCTGAGAAAGATGAACAAAGAGGGGAAGGCAGAGTTGGTGCTATGATGCCAACATAATTTTTCTTATTTGAAAAATTAAAAAAGTAGTGGCTCAGGTACCTCCCTGGATGTATGATTTAGAATCATATAAATATATTAGGATGGAGACCATTTCATCAGAATACTTATTGACACAGAAACTTTAATAGAAGAGTGGATTAACCAAAGGTGCTCCAGCACAGATCTGCCTGGGACCACCCACAACTGGACTAAGACTGATCAGCGTTAACAGGATGGATGCTACTTCCCTATCAGCCTGCCACACCCAGGGACTCTGACCTTCTTCCTTTCCTGTACTACTCATCACAGTGGGTCACCTGCATCAGTTTCAACAGGTTGTCAGAACAGGAACACATTCATCCACAGTGCCTTGGCTGTGAACAGTGAGGAACTGAATGTCAAAAACTCCTGCAGATTAGGAAAGAAAAGACACACAGAGTCCTTCACCTTAGAGGATGGCATTTACTGGTTCCCATCCTCAGTCTGGACCAGCACTCCCAATGCCCACAACCAATTTTTTTTCACCTAGATTCCTTCAACCCACAACCACAGAAAAAAGCACTCTAAATTTTGTCAGTTTAGCTTCGGGTTCCTTTTTGTCTTCTCCTAGTCCAAAAAAATAAAAATATACCTTTTTTTCTTTTTTATGTTTTCTTTGAACCCCAAACAATAAGCTTTTTGGATCATTCTTTGAGGTAGCACAAAATCAAGACAAGTTTATTTATCAGAATTTGAAACATGCCTAATACAAGACAAATATAGAACCAACCCAAAGATTATACATTTAAGGCTAGAAGTTAGGCGGTCTGCCTGCCATACCTGCCTGCACCCACTCCCATCCCTCCCTATAGTCTAGAAGTGAATATCTGGACTCAGATGGAAATCATTCAGAACCCTGTGAAGACGTGGCTAAAGAGCAGGTGTTATAGTGCAGGAGGTTAAGCCACTGCTTGGGAACTTGCATCCCATATTAGAGTGCTGATTCCAGTCCCAGCTATCCCACTTCCAATCTAGCTTCCTACTAATGCACGAGGGAGGCAGCAGATGATGACTCAATTGCTGGGGCTCCTGCAACCCACATGCAAGGCCTGAATGGAATTTCTGACTCCTGGCTTTGGCCTACCCCAGCCTTGGCTGTTGCAGACATTTGGGGAGTAAACCAGCAAATGGAAGATTGATCTCTCTCTCTCTCTCTCTCTCTCTAGATGAAAATAAATAACTAAATATTAATTTTAAAAGATGTGACTGAAAGTAAAAAAAATATTAGGGAAGGATGTCCACACAAATTTAATTAGAGAAATATGAACAAATAAATTCATAATTTATATAGATTTATAAAATGAAGCAAACAGGAAAAATCAGTGGTTTATCATCTGGAGTCCCCAGGTTCCTTATAAAGCTTATAAAAGTACAAACTTTATTTGCTACCTCAAAAGACTTAGGAGAAAATTTCAAGGTTACAATTCTATAGCCAAAGATGGATTTTTGAAATGGCAAAATGAAGAACTTGGTGAATTTGTTCTCTATCTAAAACAATAAGAATATGAACAAAAAATGTCATGGTTAATTTTAAATAGCAAATACATGGCAAAGCACCCAGATTAAACATTATTTCCAGATGTGTCTGTGAGGGTATTGCCAGATTAAATTATATTTTAATTGGTGGACTCAGAAAATGTGATGTGGGCATCATCTAATACTTTGTGGTCCTAAAAAACAAAAAGGCAAAGAAAGGAGGCCTTCATAAAAAGGGAGGCTTTGCTTGTTTACTGTGCCCATGCCAAAGTAAATCTCACTGTGAAATCATAACTTAAGCTCTCCTTTAGGCTATGCTATTTGGTCTTCTATATGCAGCCAGCCTATTATTATAGAAAAATGTTAGCCATTCCTTCTATAAGATCTGAAGATCAAACTGTACATCCTGATGGAGAGTACTTCAGAATAGAATCAGTTTTCTATCTTGAAGAGAATAGAGAAATAAAGAAACAAGTCAGGACTCCCAGATCACTTATCGTAAATAACTTAATATCAGGTGAAACCTTAGCAGACAAATTTAACTGTCAAATAAACCAATTAGGAAAAAATTCACTGTAAGGTCCAAAGCCTTGTATAACTTTTAAGACAAGGGTACATTGGAAACATTTTTTAAATATTTAACACAAGTGTAACTTGTTTGACCAGGAAACCCAAACATAACAACACCCTATCTTCAGCAAAGGACACATTAACCAGATAGAAAATCAACAAAGAAACAACAGAGTTAATTACACCAAATGGACTCAACAGATATCTACAAAATTTTTCATCCTATAGTTGCAGAGTACAAATTTTTCTCACCAGTACATGGAATTTTCTCTAGGATAGAACAAATGCTAGGACATAAAGCAAATTTCAGTAAATTCAAAAAAATTGATATCATACCATGCATCTTCTCTGACCACAGTGCAAAAAAGCTGGAAATCAAAAACTCAAGAAACTCTAGAATGTATGTAAACACATAGAGACTGAGCAACATGCTCCTGAATGAACCGTGGGTCATAGAAGAAATCAAAAGAGAAATCAAAAAATTTCAGGAAATGAATGAAGAAGACAATACAACATACCAAAACTTATAGGATATAGCAAAAGCATTTTTTTTGACAGGCAGAGTGGACAGTGAGAAAGAGAGACAGGGAGAAAGGTCTTCCTTTACTGTTGCTTCACCCCACAATGGCCACTGCGGCCACCATGCTGCGGCCGGCACACCACACTGATCCGAAGCCAGGAGCCAGGTGTTTCTCCTGGTCTCCCATGCGGGTGCAGGGCCCAAGGACTTGGGCCATCCTCCACTGCACTCCCGGACCACAGCAGAGAGCTAGATTGGAAGAGGGGCAACCAGGACAGAATCCAGCACCCCGACCGGGACTAGAACCCGGAGTGCCGGCGCTGCAGGTGGAGGATTAGCCTATTGAGCCACAGCGCTGGCCAATAAAAGCATTGTTAAGAGGAAAGTTTATAGCAATTGGTGCCTACATCAAGAAATTGGAAAGCCACCAAATAAATGAAATATCAATACATCTCAAAGACCTAGGAAAACAACAATAGCCAAACCCAAATTAGGAGAAAAGAGATAATTAAAATTAGAGAAGAAATAAAAGAATTGAAACAAAAAATACAAAAGATTAGTGAAATGAAGAGCTGTTCTTTCAAAAAACTACTTCTAAGAAGCCAGCATCACCTTAATTTCCAAACCTGAAAAAGAAACAACAGAGAAACAGAACTACAGACCAATATCCCTGATGAAAATAGACACAAAAATCCTCAACAAAATAGCCAATTGAATCCAACAAACATCAGAAAGATCATTCACCCAAACCAAATGGGATTTATCCCTGGTATGCAAGGATGGTTCAGCATTTGCAAATCAATCAATGTGATACATCACATTAACAAACTAAAGAACAAAAACCATAGGATAATCTCAATAGATATAGAGAAAGCATTTGATAAAATACAACATCCATTCATGATGAAAACTTTAAGCAACTTGGGTATAGAAGGAACATTCCTCAACACAATCAAGGTCATTTATGACAAACAACCAGCCAGCATCTCATTGAATAAGAAAAATTTGGAAGCATCCCCACTAAGATCCAGATCCAGATAAGGATGCCCAGTCTCACCACTACTATTCAATATAGTCCTGGAACTTTTAGCCAGAGCCATTAGGTAAGAAAAAGAAATCAAGGGGATATAAATTGACAAGGAGGAAGTCAAACTATCCCTATTTGTCGATGACATGATTCTATATATAGGGAATCCAAAAGACTGCACTAAGATATTATTGGAATTCAGAAGGGTTTGGTAAAGTGGCAGGCTATAAAATCAACACACAAAATTCAATAGCCTTTGTATACACATACAATGCCACAGCTGAGAAAGAACTTCTAAGATCAGTCCTATTCACAATAGCTCCAAGAAGAATTAAATACCTTGGAATAAATTTAACAAAAGATGTCAAAGATGTCTACAATGAAAATTCTAAAACATTAAGGAAAGAAATAGAAGAAAACCAAAAAAATAGGAAATTCTTCCATGTTCATGGATTGGAAGAATAAATGTAATCAAAATGTCCATACTATCGAAAGCAATTTATAGATTCAATGTGATATCAATCAAAATACCAATGACAGTCTTCTCAAATCTTGAAATAACAATGCTGAAATTCAGATGGAAACACAAGAGATCCCAAATAGCTAAAGCATCACAATACCAGATTTCAAGACAACTACAGGGCAGTTATAATCAAATAGCCTGGTACTGACACAAAAACAGAATGGACCAGAACAGAAACTCCAGAAATCAATCCATATATCTACAAATAACTTCTCTTTGAGAAAGATCTAAAATCAATCCCTGGAGCAAGGACAGTCTCTTCAACAAATGGAGCTGGAAAACTGGATCTCTGTATGCAGAACTTTGAAACAAGACCCCTACTTTAAACAAAATCCACTCAAAATGGATTTAAAACCTAAATCTACAACTTAATACCATCAAATTACTAGAGAACATAGGAGAAACCCTGCAATACAATGGCATAGGTAAAGACTTCTTGGAAAAGATTATAGAAGCACAGGCAATCAAAGCCAAAATAGACAAATGGGATTATATGAAGCTGAAAAGCTTCCACAGTGCAAAAGAAACACTTAGCAAAATGAAGAGGCAATGGACAGAGAGAAAATACTAGTAAACTATGCAATAAATAGCTCAAAGAATTCAACAACAATAAAACAAACAAACCAGTCAAAACATGGGCAAAGGACTTGGATAGGTATTTTTCAAAAGAGGAAATTCATATAGCCAACAAACACAGGAAAAAATGCTCAGGATCACTATACATCAGAGAAATGCAAATCAAAACCACAATGAGGTTTCACCTCCCCCCAGTTATAATGGCTCTAATACAGAAACAACAAACAATAAATGCTGGCAAGGATGTAGGGAATAGGCATCCTAATCCACTGTTGGTGGGAATGTAAACTGGTAGAGCTATTGTGTAAGACAGTATGGAGACACCTCAGAAATCTGAATATAGACCTACCATATGACCCAACCATCCCACTCTTGAGAATTTACCCAAAGGAAAGAAAATCAGCATATAAAATAGTTATCTGCACCCCACATTTATTGCAACTCAATTCACAATACCTAAGATATGGAATCAACCCAGATGCCCATCAACTGAAGACTGGATAAAGAAATGATGGTATATATATACACCATAGAATTCTATATAGCAGTAAAAAAATGAAATCCTGTCATTTGTAACAAAATGGATGCAACTGAAAATCATTACATTTAGTGAAATAAGCCAGTCCAAAAAGGAGAAATACCATATGTTCTCCCTGATCTGTGGTCATTAATAGAGCACCTAAAAGGCAATCTATAGAACTAAATTTGACACTTTGAAATACAATTATTTTGAAAAGCCCTTGCCTCGGCTGTTAAGGAACAGGTTTTTTATTACTATTTGTTGAACTCTTTACTTAATGTATTGTTAATGTTATGAGTAAAGCATTAATTTAAAATAGATCTTTGCAGAAAAATAAGAACAGGAATAGGAGAGGAAGGAAAAGAAGCATGGGAGTGTGGGCAGGAGGGAGTGGAGATTGGGAAGAATCACTATGTTCCTAAATTTGTATATATGAAACGCATGAAGTTTGTATACCTTAAACAAAAGATTTCTGGGTTAAAAAAATAGATTCATTGAATACACTTCAAGAGAGCAGCAGGCAAGTCATTGAGAATCTGTCTGCTACACTGGGATTGCATTTTGAGAGGCTTATATATGGCAAGCAGCCTCTTCACAGCTCAGTTGAGTTTAATATTTTCTTGACATCTAACAGATTTTCCCAATCAAGTAATTTGCCTTTCTGTACTGAGATTAGATTTTTTTCCAGAGCCACTAGCTAGGGAGTTCCCACCCATGGTGTGCCTTGGGTGACCCCCACACCCTAGTATATAAGGGATCTTCAAAAGACCCACTGAAGGGGGCTGGTGTTGTAACATACCAGGTTAACCCACTGCCTACAACATCAACATCCCATGCAGGTGCTGGTTCAAATCTCAGCTGCTCCACTTCCAATCCAGGTCCCTGCTGATATACCTGGAAAAGTAGAAGAGGATGGCCCATATCCTTGTGCCCCTTCCAGCCATGTGGGAGACCAGGACAGAGTTCCTGGTTTCTGGCTTTGGCCTGGCCCAGTCCTAGCCATTGAAGCCATTTAGGGAGTGAACCAGCAAACTGAAGTTCTGTCTCTCCCTCTCTCTATCTGTAACTCGGTCTTTCAAATAATCTTTTTGAAAAAAAGTCCATAAAATGCATATTATGAAAAGACAACACAAGGATTTGGAAAATTTTTTGTAGTGAAATAAACTTATATTCAACAAGTTTAACTGTTTCAACAGGGTCTGTTTGTACCAAGAAGAATAAGACATCAGATTTTTAAAAGCTCCTATGAGCAACAATAATTTTGCTAAAACTGAAGCAACAACAAACATCAAACCTATGGTAAAAGCTAGATGAAAGAGTGATGAAACCATTGGTGCTTTGTGAAAAGCTTATTGGGACAACTCCTCAAAGAAATCATCAGTTTACAAATGGATAACTGGTTTAAAGAAGTGACAAGACCATGTTGAAGATGAAACGCACAGTAGTAAAACACTTATTTCAATTTGTAAGAAAAAAATTATTCTTGAATTTGTCCTAATTTTAGATGAGCAATGATTAAAAGCAAAAGCAATAGGCAAAACCACAATCACGGCCAGCGCCGCAGCTCAATAGGCTAATCCTCTGCCTGCAGAGCCGGCACTCCGGGTTCTAGTCCTGGTTAGGGTGCCGGATTCTGTCCCAGTTGCTCCTCTTCCAGTCCAGCTCTCTGCTGTGGCCCAGGAAGGCAGTGAAGGATGGCCCAAGTGCTTGGGCCCTGCACCCGCATGGGAGACCAGGAGGAAGCACCTGGCTCCTGGCTTCGGATCAGTGCGGTGAGCCGGCCGCAGCGCGCTGGCCGCAGCGCGCTGGCCGCAGCAGCCATTGTGGGGTGAACCAACGGAAAAAGGAAGACCTTTCTCTCTGTCTCTCTCTCTCACTGTCCACTCTGCCTGTCAAAAACGCACACACACACACACACACACACACACCTGACATAGGTCTGCTTACACAATTCTGACAAAAAATTGAAGTCGAGCAAATTTTCTGCTTGACAAGTGCAACAACTGTTACACCTAGATCAGCTGCAGACAAGATGGGAGTTTTCAATGTAAACTTTCCTTTTTTACTTTTTTTTTTTTTTTTGACAGGCAGAGTTAATCAGTGAGGGAGAAACAGAGAGAAAGGTCTTCCTTCCATTGGTTCACCACCCAAATGGCCGCTATGGCTGGCGTGCTGCAGCCAGCGTGCCTCACCAATGGGAAGCCTGGAGCAAGGTGCTTCTTCCTGATCTCCCATGTGGGTGCAGGGCCCAAGCACTTGGGCCATCCTCCACTGCACTCCCGGGCCACAGGAGAGAGCTGGCCTGGAAGAGGAGCAACCAGGACAGAACCGGCACCCCAACTGGGACTAGAACCTGGGGTGCTGGAATCGCAGGCTGAGGATTAGCCTAGTCAGCCGCAGCACTGGCCTCAATGTAAATTTTCAACAAGTGGGATCAAGAATCTAAAGCATTTCTCCAAAGAATTGGAACAGAACATGAAACATAGCTTTTTCCATTATGATTCTGAAGACAAAGCCTAATCAAATCCATAACCATGAAGAGGTGGAAATGGTCCACTCAGGCAAAGGTAATGGCAAGAGCTTTTGTGGGTGTTCAAGGAATTTTGCGTGTTGACTACAGGGCTAAATAATGATGACATCTACTGACTAGGAAAGAGTTTTTGATATGAGACTGGTCAGAGAGATAGAGTAGGTTCATGAAATGGAGGCCACACCTCCATTCTCTCCATGTAATCTCACCTATATCCACCCACCTGTCAATCAAACTATGTAACCACTCCCCTTTCAAAAGAGAGTAAGAGGCTGGGCCCACCAGTCTCCTGCTGGCCCTCTTGCTTGCAGCCTCTCTCTCTCTTGCGTGCCCCACCCTGCTCTCCCATGTGCACTCTCACCTGTGCTCTCAGTTTAAGGTTACCGACAACCCCTGGAAATGGTTGGTATGGAGCTCCCTGTTTACCCTTCTTGATCCACTCTCCCTTAATAAAGGATTCACATTCCTCTGAATTCTTCTCACTTTCTAAATAAATTCTAAACCTTAACAGGCTGCATGTCTCATTTGGGCCTGTGCTTAGATTCTTTTCTAAGTAAAAGGCAAGAATCCGAAATACTAATTTTGGCCTAGATTAGCTCACAATATGTTGAGCAAGTCAGCCAAAGCTTTAGCAGAAAAGTGCCCAGGGAAGCTTCACTGGAGGATTCTTCTCCAACAAGATAATGTTCTTGTTCACTTATTTTACCAAACAAGGGGATATTTGTAAGGGCTTTCATAAAAAAATCATTAAGCATCTGCTTTATTTTGATTTGGCTCCTTTAGACTTCATTTTTGCCCCCAAAAAGTCTGTAAAAGGCAGATTTTTCTGCAGTTATGTAAAAATGTTAAATTTTCAAAAACCTTAGTTCTGTAGGAATTGGCTGAATGGTTGGTATCATTGCATGCAAAAGTGTCTTGAGAGAGCTTAAGGTAAGAAATTAAGTTTTGGGGCTGGCGCTATGGCATAGCCGGTAAAGCCGCCGCCTGCAGTGCCAGCATCCCATACGAGCACCAGTTCAAGTCCTGGCTGCTCTACTTCCAATCCAGCCCTCTACTATGGCCTGGGAAAGCAGTAGAAGATGGGCCAAGTCCTTGGACCCCTACACCCCACATGGGAGAAGTGGAGGAAGTTCCTGGCTCCTGGCTTCAGATCTGTGCAGCTCTGGCCATTGCAGCTGATTGGGGAGTGAACCAGTGGATGGAAGGCCTCTCTCTTTCTCTGTCTCTATTTTTCCCTTTGTGTGTAACTCTGACTTTCAAATAAATATATAAATATTTTTGAAAAAGAAAGTCTTTATTGTCAATCTTTTAATTCCTTTTTCCATGAACTTTGAAACATCCCCTCATATACATAGCCAACAGTCAACACCAAAGAGTAAACAGAAAATGCTCTATCAAGTAGAAATTACTGAACTCCAGCAGATATAATAAATTATATTGTATAATTCAGAATAATTTATCCTAGCCATACAAGGTGTTTAATATTCAAAAGTTAGTTTTGAGCAGTGGCAGTATCATAGTCAATGAGGTTTAACATTCAAAATTCAAACAACTTAATAAGCTATATAAGTAGAATAAAAACACATAATACACAGATACAGAAAAAGCATTTGAAAAAAATCTCTTTCATATAGAATTCAACAAATTAAGAATACAAGGAAACTTTTTCAATCTCATAAGAGGCAACTATGAAAGGTACACAGTTAACATCATAATTACTAATCAAAAAAGCAAAATTTTTCTCCCTTGAGATCAGGAATAAAACAAGGATGCCTACTCTTGCCTCTTTATTCAATATTTTACTAGATGTTATATCCAGGACAGTGAGATTATAAAGAAAAAAGAAGGGGGCAGGAGGAAAGAAGAGGGAGAAACGGAAGGAGGAAGGAAGGAGGAAGAGAGGAAAGGAAGGAAGAAGAGAGAGAGAGGGAGGGGGAGGGAGAGAGAAGACATCTAGACTGGACAGAAACAAGTAAAACATTTCTATTTTTAGAGAATATGATAACATATAATATATAAAGAAATTCTAAGGAATCCACTAAAGAACCATTAAAACTAATAAGCAAGCTTCACAGTGCCAAAGTACAAGATCAATATCCAAATTAAACAATCTGTAAATGAAAACTGAAACCAATCTGTAGAGCAAGGCCTAAAATTTTAAGAGCTGCCTTGATATTTCTTATCCTCACAGGGCCCCAAAGGCCTGTGAGTTCCTTCATTCTCATTTGATATGCTCCCTTTCCCAACAAGAAAATCTCCCCATGCAGCAGCACTTGTATCAGTTGAACCAGCTCCACTCCCCGGATCCTTTACATAACAGACTGTACTTGCCTCTCAGTCAGTGGAATTATTCAGTAAGCTAATCATATCTTTCTACAGAAACTGGGCCTGGAGGAGAATATGGGTGGAGAATAACTTACCCTTTTGTTACTGCAAAGCCTGCCATGCCACAGCCACTACTGGTGTAATGTGTTCCTGTGTGTCACCACCATGAAGCCCTGAATGGTGTACGGTGCTCTTTTCCCCTAGACTGTTGAGTATATGTGACACATAAACTGTTCTCTGTTTCATCAGTCTGCTGTGAGGTGTCATGTGTTAGGTTATTTCATAGTATTCAGAGTCAGGAATTCCTCTTCAACAGTGCAAATAAGAGATGATGAATCCCATTAAAAACAGCACAATGTAAAATACAATCTCCATTTATGACAACAATAATAAATAAATAAGTGAAATATATAGGGAAAGAACAACAAAAGAAGCATAAGTCCTATATACTGAAAACTATAAAAAATTATTGAAAGAAATTTTTTTAAAACTAAATAAATGGAAATGCATGCCACATCCATAGATCTGAAGACAATATTCATATTATTAAGATGTAACTTGGGGGCCAGTCCCGTGGCGCAGTAGGTTAATCTTCCACCTGCAGCGCCAGCATCCCATATGGGCGCCGGTTCTAGTTCCGGCTGCCCCTCTTCCAATCCAGCTCTCTGCTATGGCCTGGGAAAGCAGTAGAAGATGGTCCAAGTACTTGTGCCCCTGCACACACGTGGGAGACCAGGAAGAAGCATCTGGCTCCTGGCTTCAGATCGGCGCAGCTCTGGCTGTTGCGGCTATCTGGGGAGTGAGGCAACGGAAGGAAGACCTTTCTCTCTGTCTCTCCCTCTCACTGTCTGTAACTTTACCTCTCAAATAAATAAATAAATAAAATCTTTTAAAAAAAGATGTAATTATTCCAAATCTTATCAAAATCTCAGCTGCTTTTATTAACTGACATGCTGATCTTAAAATTCAGACAGAAATTCTAGCAACGAAGAGTAGCCAAAAGTACTTGGAAAAAGAATAAAGATGGAGGACTCACACTTGTCTGTATTTCAAAATCTAATTTAAGACACTGTGGTAATGACATTTGGAAAATATATAATTGAATATATATATGAATATATATTAACTTAAAAGAATTTTGTACCAAAATAAACTTCTTTTTTAATTCCATTTCCCATGACCTTTTTGAAGTACCCCTGTAGATCAAAGGAACAGATCTGAGAGTCCAGAGACACTCATATTTATGGTCAATTATTTTCAACAAAATTCACCAAGACAATTCAAATAGTAGATAGGATAGTATTTTAACAAACGGACTGGATATTCACATACAAAAGAATAAAGCTCAACTTCTTCCTTATGGCATACATAAAAATAAACTCAAAATATAAGAATGAAATCTGTAAATTTATTAGAAGGAAACATAGGTCTAAATCTTCATGATCTAGGAATAGGAAACGATTCCTTAACTGTGACACCAAAAATGCAACCAACAAAAGAAAAGCAGATAAATTGGACTCTATCAAAATTTTAAATATTTGTATTTCAAAGAATACCATCAAGAAACTGAAAAGACAACCCACAACATAGGAGGAAATGTTTGCAAATCATGTCTGATCCAGGACTTACATCTAAAATAAATACAGAATTCTTAGATCTTAATAATAAATAACAAATAACCCAGTTAAAATAGGCAAAGAATCTGAAAAGACATTTCTCCAAAGAAGATACACAGAGATCCAATAAGTACATGAAATTCCCAGAAACCAACCACAACATAAAATAAAAATAGGAGAAAATCACCTATGCTATTCCA